TAGTCGGAAAGCGTGCGGCCATCTTCCAGCTGCTTGCCGGCAAAGATCAGCCTCTGCTGGTCAGGAGGAATGCCTTCCTTGTCCTGGATCTTGGCCTTGACGTTCTCAATGGTGTCGCTTGGCTCCACCTCCAGGGTGATGGTCTTCCCAGTCAAGGTCTTCACAAAGATCTGCATCCCACCCCGCAGACGCAGGGCCAGGTGGAGGGTGGACTCCTTCTGGATGTTGTAGTCGGAAAGCGTGCGGCCATCTTCCAGCTGCTTGCCAGCAAAGATCAGCCTCTGCTGGTCAGGAGGAATGCCTTCCTTGTCCTGGATCTTGGCCTTGACGTTCTCAATGGTGTCGCTTGGCTCCACCTCCAGGGTGATGGTCTTCCCAGTCAAGGTCTTCACAAAGATCTGCATCCCACCACGCAGACGCAGGACCAGGTGGAGGGTGGACTCCTTCTGGATGTTGTAGTCGGAAAGCGTGCGGCCATCTTCCAGCTGCTTGCCAGCAAAGATCAGCCTCTGCTGGTCAGGAGGAATGCCTTCCTTGTCCTGGATCTTGGCCTTGACGTTCTCAATGGTGTCGCTTGGCTCCACCTCCAGGGTGATGGTCTTCCCAGTCAAGGTCTTCACAAAGATCTGCATTTTCTCTGCAGTGGGGAAGGAGAAAAACAAGGATTGGGAAATCACACCAATCCAGTTAGCAACTGTCAATTCTGCTTAAAGAGCTCCTTGTTCAATGTCACGTTGCAACTGCCTACGTTGATTTAAACGTAAGGAAAAGTTTATGACAGCTAAGTCCACGATTCTTTTCCTGCTGTACGCTGCCCAGCGTCACACTGTTCGAGCTGGGCCGCCCCTAAGCCCATTAAGCCAACCACCAAGTCTGCCCCACAGGAATGCCGTCTACCTCTGGAGGCTGGGCGTTTTCTTTCGTGGGGGGGTTCTGGAGAAGAGGCTGGACCTCCACCTTTCGAGGACGGCTGCCTCGCTTTTCCTGCAGGCCGCACAGGCCTCGCCTACACGACCCCCTAGGCCTCTCCCACCCCGGGCCTAGGCCCGGCTTGGCTTTTACGAGCCAAGGGAGCCCGCTCGAGATGCACGGACTCCCCCCTCCCATGGCAAGGCCCGTGGAGGGCTGCACGCCCCCGACCCCCCTTTACCCGCCCGCAGCACCTGCCTCTGTCGCTTTCCAGGCCAAGAAGCAACAAAGGGCCGAGCGGGAGGCAGAGCGCGTGCGCGCCGGCCGCCTTTGGCAAGGGGCGGGGCTGCGAGCGCGCGTCGTCATAAGGGAGCCGCGTCACGTGCGTGGGCGGGGCCTCGCTCATCCTCCCTTCCCCGTCCTGCTTCCGGGGCGGCCATTTTGGGTGGCGGCAGCCGTTGGGCCCCCTTCCCTCCCGCCTCTCCCGTTGATTTAAAGCAACTATTTTCCCCCTCATCCGACGCCGCCACGAACGGGAAGCCAGCGGAAATCCGCGCTGCTTCTCCGAGCTCTTTCCCCCGCCTAAATAGCTTCCGTCCCGCTCAGAAACGAGACTCCCTCCTTCAAACTAAGCTCAACTCAAGGAAACCCAATCTTCCTTCACACTGAGTTTAACAGAAAAGATAGCGAAAACACCTCCCGGCTTACCGCAGCTTAAGCAGGTCCTGGCAAACAACAGCAAAACCACACAAGCAAAAGGCGACTTGATCTATCTGCATACTCCGCCGCGGGGGACTTTTATATAGGCCCCGGCCTTGGATCCCTCCGCCAACGGAAAGGGATGGACTATTTTTTCATTCGTGCGCACGCGGCTTCCTGTTAGCCAATAGGGCTGCGGCAAGTCAGGTGGGGCGGCGGCAATGAGTCAGCTCCGCTTTCCGTGGCGGAGAGTGGCGGAAGAATAAAATCTTCGCAGCTCGGCGAATCGACGGGAAACGGTTGAGTGGAAGGGAGTCGGTTGGAACGTAAACCTGGGCTGGATTTCTTGGCTAAGCCGGAATGGGTTAAATAAATAAAGAAGAAAGTGGGGGAGAGTTAAATGCCAACTGCCAGTATTCCCCAGCCAGCATACAGTACGTTAGTATTTCTCAACCTTGGCCACTTTAAGATGGGTGGACTTCACCTCCCAGAATTCCCTATCCGCATGCATTAGTGTTACTCCACCAGCATGCTGGCTGGGGAATTCTGGGAGTTGAAGTCCACTCATCTTAAAGTGGCCACGGTCTGGTTGACCTCGTCCTGTGAACCTGTGGCCAAGGTGAGCAGAGCTGCTACCTCCCAGCTTACTCTCTCCAGCAGGGCCAGAGCCTCCTCTTCCTCTTAGACCGAGTTGGCCACAGGGGCTGCCCCACAGCCTGCAAGGTTTCTGGTTAGGCAGTCGGAAGGAATGCCCCTAACGCATCAGTGCGGGCCAAAAAGGGCAGCGGCGTTTCCCAGGTCACCTTCCTGGGATTTTGCAAAGGAAGATACCGCTTGAAGCCTTTTAATGTTACAGGAAGGAAAAATTTAAAGAAAAAAAAAAAAAAGGAGGCCTCCCCGTCGGGGAATCGAACCCCGGTCTCCCGCGTGACAGGCGGGGATACTTACCACTATACTAACGAGGACAAGCCCTGCGCAGGTTTTCCAGCCACCCTCCTTGAAAGTACGGTAGAATAAAGGGCCGCGCCGCCTTGAGCGATGGGTGCTTTTTCAGGAAGATCGTTCGCGAAGGAGACAGGCGAGCCGCGCACCCGCCCCAGGCCCGCCTTCCCGGAAACATCAGCCACAAAAAAAAAACTCCCGCAAACTGGAAGGACCACTGGTGGGGTCCCGGCCCGCCTTCCTGATTTGTTTAGGGGCCTTTGCCTCCCTAAAAAGAGCCTGCCGAAACCCGGGATCGAACCAGGGACCTTTAGATCTTCAGTCTAACGCTCTCCCAACTGAGCTATTTCGGCCGATGGAGCTCTGGCTGCTCATCCTCCCCTACGAGCTGGCGACGCCCCTCTTTTTCCGGACTTCCGACGAGCCCTTCTCCCCGCGGGCGGGCTCGCCTTCGGCACCGCGCCCCGCTCTCCTCCCACGGAGGCGCCCCTGGATTTCCCCTCCTGCCCTACCGGGAGCCCTCCTACTTCGGGGGCGGGGGCGCCCAGTTTAGCAAGGCGGCATGAGCAAAAACTCTTTGGGGCAGCCCGTCCCCGTGGCTGAAGTCAACCCCGCAGAATCAAAGCAACGAGAAAATCGTCTTTGGCCGTGGCTGAATAAAGGGAAAAGGGAGCCTGCGCTGCTTTTTTGGAATTTCTCTTATTCTGGAGAAAAAGGCGAGTCTCCCCGTCGGGGAATCGAACCCCGGTCTCCCGCGTGACAGGCGGGGATACTTACCACTATACTAACGAGGACGGGCTCGGTCGAAGGTGTTAAAAATACTCCAGATAAAGCGGGGCACGTGCAGATCCTGGGCATTTCTGCCCCTCCCTGCAAGGGCTCATTTGGGGAAGGGAAGGGAAGCCATGATCCCCTCGAAGGCCCTTTCCGAGGCTCATGCCACCCTGCCCCTTCTCCGGAGGGGGGCCCTGGACCTCTGCCCCCCAGGTGAGCAGAGTTGCGGGGCGGCTGAGCTAAGCCCCCCTCTGCTGCTAAGCCAGAGGCCTTCCTGGTGGGTCGGAGGGATTTTCTTAAATCAGCAAATCAGTCAATCAGCCTTGCAAGAATCCTACAGGCCTGCAAGGCATGGAAAAGGGACGAAAGCCAAACACCATCGCAGCAACTCCACTGTCTGATTAGCCCCCCTCCCCCCCCCGCAAAGCAAACAGATCCCAAAGTGGGATCTTAGGGGGAAAAAAGTTCCCCTCCTAGGGGAAGACATCCTGCCCCTTCATGGTGTGGGTCAGAATTTGGCTCCCCGCGGGAAGGGCAGCGATTAGAAGCTGAGACTCAGGGTAAGGTGTTTCTGTCTACGTGGAAAAACCGGGCACCAAAAGGAAAAAAAAAAGAATATTTTTTGCAAGGGGGGGAAAACGGTGCTTTGTACTTCCTGCTATAAAGCTGAGCAGCCAGGAGGGGATGTAGCTCAGTGGTAGAGCGCATGCTTTGCATGTATGAGGCCCCGGGTTCAATCCCCGGCATCTCCACATTTTTCCCTCTCAGTTCAGATTTTGCAAATGCCAAGCTGAACCCTGAACCAGCTCGCTGATCCGTTTCAATTACTTCTGACTCCTTTTGCATCCCGCTATTAAAAGTCCTTTCTATTGCATTCTTCCGTTCTGCTCCAGCCAGTTTGCGAGCGTCCTTCATAGACATTCTGCCACTGTTACCAAAATAGAATGAATTACCATCAGCTGCATAGAGAAAAGTCAAAATAGAGACATAGATCTGGGGGAAATTCCATCTCTTAGGCGTATGCAACACCCTTCTATTTTTAGTTTAAAAGGAGTCGACAAGAGGATGAATGTATAACACCACATTTGCAAAGGATCTGCAAAGCACAGGTGGGTTGGAGGAAAAATATTTATTTCAGAAAATGGCATCGTTCAGGGCAATAACCGATTTATGAACAAGTGCGTGCTTTGGTTGTTTTTTAAAGTCATTATCAAAGTCAAAGTCATCTTTATTGTCATTGTACTACTTGTACAACGAAATTAAATGCCACCCCAGTGCAGCTTTAAAAATATAAAAAGGCCAGAAGATGTGTAGGGCAGTTTCTGAGATTCTTCCCCCAAGACAACGGTTGTCTTACATTTGAAAATTCCATTTTTTACAAGGTACTGATGCATTGAGCCACCCAAAGCGATTCTACTTCATTCTTTCCAACTGGATGATCAAGTTCAAAACCCACAAAGGGTTGTGGGGAGGGGGTGGGGACATTTTCACCATTGCAACTGGAGCAGAAGGAAATCCCATCTCGAAAGAAAAATCTGCTTCTCCTGCCCTCCGCGGGCATTCAAATTAAAACATCTCGAGGGTGTGTGTGTCGAAGCAAAGGAAAATAAACCACAGAACGTAGAGGGTAAATATTCATTGAATTATTGCATTTACAAACTGCTGCGACTCCCAGCGGGTATGAACAGAAAATGCCAAGATTAGCACGAGGAGCCCTTAAAGGAAAAGAAACAGATGTAAAGAGACTCAAAACTATAACATTTATTTTTTTTCAAGCACGTGCCGTTTCTTGACGTTTATTTCTGCAAAACCTGGAAGAGCTGCAGTTCGTTGTAGGGTTGGAACGTGTGAAGGGAGAGTTTCTCTACTCTGCTAAGCCTTAACGTGGTGTGTTTGTGGCTCCGTGTGTTTGCGTGAACCAACCCCTTGTGATGTCTAAGCCATGGTTTCTGGGTCTGCGGGCGAAAGTTTAACCATTGCGGCTTAGCCAGAAAACCACGATGAAAAGAAACGCAGCTTAATGGAACGTGTGAGGCTTGCGACTTCAATCCAGCATGCCTCAAACTTCTTCTCTCGAACATCTTCAAGGAAATTCTCTGCCCGGCGATGACTTCTTTGCAGGTAAATGTCACAGATCACACCCGTGTTGCTCCTTGGGCACCAACGAATTCCTCTCCCCTTTTCCTTGTGCAATTATGGATCTTGCTTTTTCCATGGTGTTTTCGGGGAGAACCCAAGCCGGAGAGCTCCTAGCTCAAACACCCACAGCATCACGCCACCGGAGGCCAGATTTTAGCTACTTCCTCGTGGGTCACTTGTGGAATCCACTGGCAATATTCTGCCAGCAAATCTGCAATGGGAAGGTTTAAAGAGGGATGCGTCAGCCACCTGCGATTAAACGGTGACGGTCCCGAAGCCAGCCTGATATCGTGATCCCGGCAACGGCAGGTTATAAAACCTTGCAAATCTTTACCGGCGGAATTGCTAAAAAGGCAAAGCATGGTCTTACGTATCTGGAAGCTTACATTTCGGATTCTTCTCCCAGGCAACTTGCAAAGCGTTGCTGTTATCCGCGTTTTCGGAAATGAGCGCCTGAAGCAAGGATTCTGTCCTCGGTTGGAGCCTGCAGGAACATCAAGCAAAGGGATTGATCCAGAGCAGGGTTGCTCAACCTCAGCGACTTTAAGATGCGCGGACTTCAACTCCCAGAATTCCCCAGCCAGCCTTGCTGGCTGGGGAATTCTGGGAGTTGAAGTCCGCGCATCTTAAAGTCGCTGAGGTTGAGAAACCCTGATCCAGAGGGAAAAATCAAGGCGGGGAGCAAATGGAACTGGTCCCAAGCATGGTGCATGGATGCCTACCAACCAACCCTCCTCTATCCTAAATGGATTGTGGGAAAGACCCATGCATTTCACTTCTTCCACCTCTAAATCTCAGCTGTACCTCTCTGGCTTTTAATAAAGTGGGTACAGTTGGAGGTGGGGGATCCAGGACTCTGGTATTTTTTTCCAGAGGGGTGCAACCCAAGCGTGGTTCTGTCTTGGTTGGCCATGGGGCAGACCCCCATGCCAGAAGACGTTATGACCTGGTTCCCACCCAGCTGCTCCAAATTGCTGGTGGCATTCCCCCCACAAAGGCCGTGTCGTGGTGGGCCCCACCAAGGTGGGCCTGCGGTCTCGTGGGTGACACTTCAAGAGAAGGGGCAGGTGGAAGGGGACACGGGTCGTTCCAGGAGGAGGATCCAAGCCTTTTAAGGGGCAAAACAGGTTCCTGAAATATCTGCAAACCCGAAAGTCCCTTCTCTGCTCCTTCCACAGCCCCCTCCCAGCATGGAGGCCAAACGTTTGGCC